TCCACCCTTTAACTACATCCATACTTTAACTACATCCACCCTTTAACTACATCCACCCTTTAACTACATCCATACTTTCATTGTTAACGGTAAAGCTTCGTATGAGTACAGATTGTTCTGGTACGAATCAACACCTGGAACATGTGACGCTCGACTTAAATAAACCTGGATGAATAAATGAACATTAAAAAACGTTTGGGGGACGTGTGTCCCGCATATTGGTGGGGACGTGATTCTGTCCCAGTAAGAAGCACAACGACCACAAGCGGCCCGGTGACGCGCGCGCACAGGAGCTGCTGTACTTGCTGAGTGGGTCAATAACCCGATGGGGGGAGGAGGGGGAGAGAGAGAGGGGGGAGGAGAGAGATGAGGGGGGGGGGAGGAGAGAGATTAGGGGGGGGGGAGGAATATGAGGACACAACATTCTAGTGAAAAGGTTCCTGCTGTTTCCTGTGCATCGTGACGGCAGCGGGGCCGCAGCAGCCAGCGGCGGCTACAACCCGCGGGTACGAGCCCCAGAAAAGGTGGAGACTCCCTCGGTGAAACCTCCCGCGCTGTAGTCCCCGCAGCACCACCGCGGAGCCCCGGTGGACACAACGGCCACGTCTTCGGTCCACGCCCCTTTTTCGGCTGTCGTAGAACCCCGGAGGAGAAGAAGCAGAAGAAGAAGAGAAGAAGAAGAGAAGCCTCTTTCGCGGTCCGCCGCCTCTCACCTTTCACCTGGCTAGCGGCTAGCGGCTAGCCGACGGGTAGCCCGCTCCCAGCGTTCGACAGCGACGGGCGGAATTGGTGAGTGTCTCCGTGATGTGGCGCCCGGGTCGCGTCCCAGCGCCGCAACCGCGCCTCCGGCCCGCGGGCCGAGCGAGCCGGCCGCACGTCCGGTACCGAACCCGCTGTCAGTGACGTTGAAGCGCGGTGCCCACCGCGTTTTTCCTTTTCCCAGCAGGGAGGTAAAAGTTAGCGAGCCAGTTAAGCTAGCTGGTAGCTTAGCCCGCTAGCCGTACCCCCGGGTGACGCCGCCTCCACCCGCCAACCGACGCCTGGCCAACGATGTGAACACGGCACCGCGAATAGCTGCTCTCTCGACCCCCCCGCGGGTCCCTGTCCCGGCCGGACAGGAGGACGAGCGGCGTGTCTGTCTTAAGGACACACAAGAGACTCCAAGGCGTCGAGTTAGCTTCTTCGGGTGTGTTAGCTTCCCCTTTTTGACATTGGCTTCATGTCCGAGGAGTGAGTGCGCGTCGCCGGGCTCGCTGTGTGTGGGACATGTCCACGGCAGGGACAGAGTGGGTCATGTGCGGGCTGGGGTTTGGACCCAGCAGTTCACAGTTGAGCTCTTCCAGAGACAAACGGTCCTGTCCGTCTCTAATCAGTGGGATCAATCATCATCACTTTCAAAGTGTCCCCGGCGACCCGCCTGGGACACTTTCATTCAAGCTTCACGGCGCGTCGGTCAGTGTGTGTGTGGATGTTGTTCTTTCCACCAAACCCTGCAAATGTTTCCTCTGTTTGCGTGTCATACAGCCCACCCCGTCCTGTGCTACTCCGTGACATCACCCTGTTTGTTTACCCCTAAACATCTGCTCTGCGCCTTCAGGGGGAGCAGCTGGTGGTCCTGACGTTCAACACGTGAGCTGAAGCTGAGAAACGAAACCGCGTTAGAGCCGTTTGTCTTCACGCTGATGGTCTGAACCCTTTAAACAAATCCGAGCTGTGACACTGAGGCCAAGTGAACAGCCGTTGTGCAAGTGTAGAGGAGTGAATCTGATCTGCGATCAGCCTGCGAACAGGAAAGCACCGGCGTCTTGGTAGACGCGTCGGCGGTTATGTGTTAAAAGGCGTAGAAAGGCTTTAGACCTGGTGCTTCTCACGTTGCGACCGCTTCAACACAAGCGTGAACTTGGTTGCTTCTACTTTTCAGCACTAGGCTGATGCGCTCGGGATGCAGGAGGCCTGTGAAACCAGGGAAATAACAAAAACACCGCAGGAGGAGGGCCGAGCTCGGAATACTACTGATGTCTATCTTGGACTCATTAGAGTATGTCATCACTGCCAAGAGAATCCAGGAGAGCAGGCTCGTTAGCTCGCGTCCGCTTCTGGAACATTTGGCGTGCGTTCCTGGTTGGCGTGCGTTCCCTCGGGCGGCGCTCATCTCTGCGGATACCTCTGCTGTGTTTCAACATGTCTGAGCCCCTCGCATTCTGTGTTTGCTCCATCTGAGCGGAGCGCATGCTGTCGGCCTCCTGACTACTGACTCCCGTCCACCGTGGCCAGTATCTGTCTCCACCAGTAGTCGACTTATCAACCACAACATCCCACCGACGGCTGTCGTCGCTCGCTGCGCTTCCTGCTTCCCAGCGAGCAGAAAGCTGCCTGCTGCGAAAGCTGCCTGCGGCTCCGGCCGGGTCAGTTCTACAGCACACGGGGTGAAGAGCATTCTGTGATCATTTGAAAGAGTTCCGTTAATGACGTGCAGATGAAATACGAGGCTCTTTGTTTCAGCACCAGGTCCTGTTTGAGACTAGGTCCTGGTAGCATCCCTACGCAGACTTCCTCATATGCACCAAATCACTGCATTTCACTGTCAAACTATTCCATGGGACACACTGCGGTTTGGACAAACTCTGTGTTCTGAGCTGTGATTTAGTTTGGTCCGGATCAACGTCGTGAACCTTCAGGCCCACAGTTACTCTACTGTTTGGTTCCACAGCAGCAGTGAAGAAACGAGCGGGCCGGCCAGGTGTCTGCTTGAACATTGACCTCTACCTTTATTTACCAGCGTGTGCTTGCCGTTGATTTCCCACCACGGTGCATCTGACCAGTGAAGGTCGGTTGTCTCGGCCTGCTTGCTTTGCTGCTCGGAGACCTTTTTAGCACGGAAACGTCAAAGACGTGAGACGACCAAACATTTCTGCCGTCGTCTTCTAAAATCATTTGTTTACATATTCATTAAATGGCAATGCTGATTCTTTTATAATCTTATATTTCCCTCACAAAATAACTGATAAGAGTATTGATAAGGAGCCAAACCAGTAAGCAGTAGATATAACGGTACTATTGTCAGTAAAATATACCGTGCCCGTCTCTAGAGTTCATGCTGCTGATCGAGGCCCGTTTATTGATCACATGAACCAGTGGTCGGTTGAGAACATTCCCATTTGTCTTCATGGCGAGAAGAGCTTTTCTTCCTCCATCCTGTTCTGTCTCAGGACGTCCTCAGAGGGAACCTCCCGTAGCGTTACTGCCCTCTGGGTCAAAAAAGTGCGTTAATGTGCGATGGAATAATTGTCAGCATTAATTAATGCGCTAACGTGCTCAGCCCTAATTTGAAAAGTGCCTAATAAACAGTTGACAACCTCATGGACCCCCCAGGTCACCAAACGTATTGTAGCCGCCCCTGATACGCAGCAATCGGTGTCTTGAGGAGACCGTGTTACTGATCCGGCTGGCTCGGCGGCGCTCAGGCAGGCTGCTGGTTCTGTGTGGTTGCCGAGGCAACGTAAAGCGCTGGTCTGGAAGATGCCCCATTAGCGTAGCGGAGCGTGGCTCCTGTCCGTCACTGTCTACTCTCTCCCCGTGGTCCCTGACGGGCCCAGACGATGCTTTGTCCTTAGCGGCTATTGTTGACAAATGTATATGTGTATACATGAATGGTAATAATTGAATGAATAAGGTTTAAGTGAACTGTGTGTGTGTCTGTCTGTCTGAGTGAGCATCTTTAAGTGTAGAGACCAAATTCTGACGTTCAAACAAATGTATTTTTCTTTATTTCATGAGCCTGCTATGGAAAGACGGATGGACGCATGTGCATATCAAGAGTGCTTAAGACTAGTTTATGCTTCTGCGTTTTCAGAGAAACACAAGGACGCGTACACGCAAGAGCTCCTTGGGTGTCTTTTCACACCTCCTTGCGTGCGTCGACCCATTTTTCTCGACTAGCGTGTGAAGCGACGCGGCCTCCTGCAGCAGCAGGCTGTGATTGGTCTCTGACTACGTCCTTTACGGAGTCTCACGTCTCCGTTTTCACAGCACGATACGGCCGTTATTAAAAGGAAGAACGTTCACCTCTTGTACCACTACAACCATGTAACCCCTCGTTGGCCCACTTGCCCCTTAACGGCAGACAGCCTGTCTGGTGGTCTGCAGCCCCCCAGTCCCAGGGGAAAGCTGGTCTGAGATCATTGACCGGGGCCATTTTCCCGCTGGATGCCGGCCGCTGTAGCGGCCCGAGGTCAGTGATGTCACGGGGGAGCGAGCGCGTACGGTAATCTCGTACGGCCTGAACAGAGGGATTCTGCCCAGGTGTTCCATTGTGCGCGCGCGCACACCCTTCTTGTATTTGTCTTGGCTGATTTGTGTGAAGTCGGCCGTGCCTCCGCCATGAGTCACGTGTCTTTTAGGGGCCGCGCGGCGTTGGCAAACACCTGACTACCAGTCAGTCCTCTGGAGCGCTGCGTTTACTTCTAGCGGCTGCTCAACCTGCTGCTCTGGAATCAGTCCGGAGTTCTGCTCAAAATCCCCCACCGCTCTCTGGCTTTCTCCATCTGCTGGTCCCAATATCACCGTATACACGGATACGTAGAATATACATAAGTAATCCTTTTGGGATGTTCCTTCAAGTCCTTCCAACCAGTTTCCAGCGGTCTGACGTTCATCCAGGAAACCCAAACAGACCATAGGAATGCATGAGCGACTATAACAGCACTATGGAAGATACTGACGTGTACGCTGAAAGGCCGGACTGAGGGTGGACACTCTGTGTCCCTGGCCGAGACATCCTGGGTTCGTCCGATCCGATAAGTGCTTATAGTGACAGCCGGACACATGCTGAGTAGAGATTTATCATTGATTTTGTTCCCACTTTTGTTGTTCACAATTCTGCCAGAGTTCTTCCCACATTGTGTGTGATCACTGGATGTGACCATAAGATGTCACTTTTAATATTCAGACAATGACCCGGTCTTCTCTTACCTCCTTTTACTTCACCCTGTCTGGAGCAGAGGTTGTGGCGGAGTACGATTACGACGCCCTCCATGAGGACGAGCTGACCCTGCGGCCGGGCGACGTCATCAAGGACGTGCACTACGTAGAGGAGGACGGCTGGATGGAGGGGGACCTGAACGGGAGACGGGGCCTCTTCCCCGACAACTTTGTGAAGGTGAGAGGAAGGGCACCACGCCGCAGGGCTGTGACCAGAACCACCTCTTGTTGTGATGAATGATATTATTGTAATTGTTCTGGTGGCAACACGAGCAGCCGCTAACGCGCTAACAGGCCAACCCGCCGGCCAGTAGCGACCGGTGGACAGCTGCTCAGGTGCTCCTGTTTTGGTGTGAATGAAAAAAGAAATACTGCAATACACCGTGATGGAGCGGCAGACACTGTTCTTCAGGCTTGAGGAGCTTGTTGTGAGTTATTACAGCGTTTTCACAACCGTTCTATTAGTTTGCTTCTTCTACATTTACAATTCTCCACAAGACACACATAGAAACGTGGGTCGACCTCGTGCTACCTCATGTGTGGTTTCTGTCTCTACATGGCCGCGTGTTCCCACAGCGTCTAGTAACCGCTGGTCAGCTGGAGACAGAAACACGCCATCCCAGTCCGCACAGTCCATTAGTCAGTACAGGGCGCTTGGATTATCTTCTCACCTCGCTTACCTTTTATTCTAAAACCGGCCGGACTAATCCTTCGTAGTGAGATAGGTAATCTGCTGAACGGCCTGGCTCAGATAGTTAATCCTCTAACCAGCCTGCTGCTGCCTGACCTTTGCCCCGGGTAACGCAGCCGGCGCCCGAGACGTCTTGTCGCTTCCTGCTTCCTTTTTGAATGCCGACGTAGCTGTAGGTTTGTTAATATTTGATCTCGCTGCGTAGATATGAGGACCATGTCGATGAATCGTGCTTAACCTTCCTGCTCTTTAACAAGCCGTTACAGTGCAGCACAGGAAAGCATTACGATGCTGGTTTACTTTATAGTCTGTCTGCTTTTGTTTGGAAGTTCTCCCGTTACAAACAAACAACATGGCGACGGCAGAATCCCAGAACCTGAGGCTTCACAGCGGTAGAACGTCTACCTGCAAAGATCCTTCTGTCACGCCTCGTAGCTCGCCACCTTTGTATGAGTTCCGTGTCTCCTGGAATCTCTACTGCGGGGGCCTCTTCTCCAAGCGTGGCCCCCGGGAGCCGAAGGGCGCTTTCCGCTTCCTGCATTAATGCTCGCTCCAATTCCCCCCCCCGGGTGTGTGTAAGCGGTGTGCGTGCGATGTGTGACTCAGCAGGGAGGCCTTCACACTCTACTGTGTGTCTCTCTTTGGTGTGACTGATGCGTATTGTGAGACGTATGTCTCACTGCGATGCTCTCTGGTGCAGCGGCCCATCAGGAAGTCACAGGGTTTCACCAGACAGAAAGACGACTAGACTTCCCACGTCAGGGTTTTGGATTAATTTTGGAAAATGGGCTTTGTGGCAAACAAACGTTTTGTTTAGCGTCTTAATCTTCACAGGTGAGCGGCCCGTTCAGAGCTCTGAGGGGTGAATCAAACCACGACGCTAAGCTATGAACCGATGCTTAATTGAATGCAATACTTGTTTTCTCACTTTTCTAACTCATTCAACATGTCTGTTTCATGGTGACGGACTCATGTCTGCTGTATGTCCTGATGTTTTTGTAGGTGGTGAAGAAGGAATCCAAAGAGGTGAAGGAGACCAAGAGTGAGCCAAAAGAGGAGGCGCAGAGGAAGGACAAGGCCGCGGGGAACGTGGCCCACCTGGTCCAGAGGATGAGCACCATCGGCATCCCAACCGGAGGCTTCCTGCCCCCGCCGCCAGCCGCCCCCAAGAGTAAGACGCTCTGCTTCCCGTCCGCACGCACACACACACACACACACACACACACACACACACACACACACACACACACACACACACACACACACACACACACACACACACACACACACACACCCAGTAGATCAAACCCTCACAGCTGATTATCTGGAACATGACCAAGCTGAGCGCTGTTTCCCTTCCAGTCACAGACGGACACCACCATACCCCGACCTGCACACTGCTGGAGTGCGCTCACCTGTTTGTGTGTTTCTGTTGTGATCTGTCGCTACTGTGAAGAAACAACAACCTTTGAGACTTTCTTGGGGGGGGAAGAGAGTCTGTGGGCAGCAGGAGATGAATCGGGTTGATCAGGAGAACGAGGCGATTCTCAAAGTTAGTTGTCCAAAGGTTTCCTGGAACTACGTGACGGCAAAGCGCTGCATCGGTGATCGATGAGCAAGCAGCCCCCCCCTTTACAACACTGGATATGGATTAGGTACATATTCAGTGTAAATATGCAATCAGAAGATCATTGCATTCTAGTCACCAATCCAACAACCAACAGTGAAGCTGAGGTTCCCCTCCTTCACATTGTGATGCATTTTTGCTCTCTGAAGTGTTGGGTGAAGGTGTCCTGATCGACCCCGGTGCTGTGCAGAAGGAAATGCCCCCCCCCCCACATGCACATCACACACACTCCGTATTGGTTTAAAGACATGGCTATTTCCCAGCCCGCTCCGCACTACAATGGAACTGTACTGAAACTGAAACTGGTGTGTTTCCTGTCCCACAGAGCCCAAGAGGAGACAGTGCAAGGTCCTGTTTGACTACCAGCCGCAGAACGAGGACGAGCTGGAGCTGAAAATCGGGGACATCGTCGACATCGTCGAAGAGGTACTTTTTAAATCCTAAATGTATTATTATTATTATTATTTCTGATTCAAAAGGCTGAGTGAAGCTTGTGGGAAGTTCAACTCATTTTATTTGGTAAAGCCCAAATTACAAATCTGCCTCAGAGGGTTTTACAGTCTGTACACGTGTGACGTCCTCTGTCCTGAAACCCTCACATGAGGAGACAAATGAAAACCCTTCAGGGGGAGAAAAGGGAAGAAACCTCAGTGAGGACGTCAGAGGATCCGTCTCCTGATGGACAGACTACAAAGGATGTTTAGGGTAAACAAGGTGGCTGCTGTGTTGACGTTTGAGGCGCTGTGGGTGTGATCTTCCAGACACTCAATGCATTTATTTGACCGGTGCTGATACAGCAGCTGCTAACTGCTAGTTTGGGGAACGGGTGAGAGAAGCTCCCACGCGTAGTTAGATGTGTGCAACAAATGCACATTTCATTCTTCTCAATGTTGTATTACAGTGTTTCCACTACATTATAGCACATGTCCCACCGCACCTGGAAGCCCCTAATGACCTGATTCCCTCTTGGTCGAGGGGGCCAAGACATGTTTATTTTTTCAATTTTAATGTTCGGAAAACTTAACTTAAATGGTCCCCTGTGCAGGTGGAGGAGGGCTGGTGGAACGGCAACTTCAACGGCAAGTCAGGGCTGTTTCCCTCCAACTTTGTCAAAGAGCTGGACGCCACAGGAGAGGACGGAGACACCGGCGAAGGGGCCGCAGACGAGACCGGTGAGACGAGCAAACATAGTTTTACAAGCATGGGAGGGGTTGCTTTTTGAAAACGTGTTTGTCTTTGGACAAAAACAGCTCAAGGCGAGAGTCTCAGCCGTGTTTGTTCTTTGTCTTTAACTGCGGCTGTTATCAGATCGCTGTCCTCTCTGAAACCTGTCTCACTCGAACAAACCCGTCAGGTGTCTCTTGCATTCCAGGCTGCAGGTCCTGCACTCCGTACACATAAATGGTGCAGTAATTGTCGCTGGACCGGGATGCATGCATCCACTACCCAGTGGAAAGGGCGACTATAATTGATATAATTGATTGTAATGGAAAACACCCAGAAGGAAGACGCAGACAGAAGTCGCGTGAATACAGTTTGATCTGCGCCGGGTGACGGAGTCCAACAGGAATAACAAGATCTTCAGTACTCCTCCCTCCTGTTACTCCTCCAGTGAGCAGCACAACAACAGGCCGTGTGAGCACAGAGACATCACCTGGTCTCAGTACGCCGTGCAGTCGCTGTGACAAGCCTTTCGTCTGAATAACTAAACAGAGGCAAGCTGTGACACGGCACAGAGGCGTTTTAGGGTCCACAGCTTGAGGTTAGACTTTAAGTCGGCGCTCACAATGTGTCGAGTCCAAGGCTGCTCGACTCTTGTTTCATTGTGTCGGTGTTCTGTAGACATTAGGCTTTCATGAATGAATATTTCCATATTTATGTGATCTGCGCGCACTTCATAGCACCACCTGGTGGCTGAATTAGGAATAAAATGTGTACTTTCTAAGATCGAGATGTTTCCAATCCTAAAACCATTAAAGTTGGCAGAACCTTCCAACGTTGCATCTTAAAACCTGCATGACCCCCGAGCACAGTCATCCCGTCGCGTGGTGGTGAAGCCCACGCGGACGCCACACACCGGACCTCCCAGAGCTCTCTGGCTTATCGCCACGCTTGCGTACGCCGTCGTGGTTATGGAACTAAACGGCTGTAGGGTGTGAGGTTTGACCAGCGCCGTGTCTCTCCTCCCGCAGATGCCGGTGGGATGGAAAGCGCCGGCGCCCCCCCCGCCTCACCGCAGCCCGCCACAGGCAACGGCGTCATCGCTCAGCCCAAGAAGATCCGAGGCGTGGGCTACGGAGATATTTTCAAGGGGGAGTTTGTGAAGCTAAAGCCCCGGCTGCCGAGCACCGACTCAGAGGAGAAGAAGGAGAAAGTAAGTGAGACGCAGCATGAAATGCGTAGCAGGGCAGCACGTGGCCCCCCACCGGGGTCACTGGAGGTCTCAGCACCGGGCCAAGACGTTTCCATCGTAGTTGGACAGTCTTCAGGTGTATTTCATCCTGCAGTAGTTCACTGCCTGCAACCCTTTATCGACATGTATGCTGCTTTACCTGCATCTCCATGAAACAGAGCAATCTGAACACCCAGTTTCTTTGTTTGTGGTCTGGATGATCGTGTATTTTCTAAACATTATTTGGGAGTTCAGAAGGTGAACTGGCTGCCATCCGTCGTTAGTAGTGTGTGTTCCCCGAGGTGCAGAGCTTCACCGCGGGGGGGCAACGGGCCTGATCGCTCTGCCGGCGTTATCACGGCCCACTCTGACAAGCCCAGCCATTCTCTTCTAGTTCAGCATGACTGTAATCACTTTATGCAGCTTAATTAAATGTAACGACGTGATCACTCTATGCACAATCCGTCGTTTGGGACGTATGCACCAGATCGTGGTGGTATGGACCACCACGATCTTCTCTCCCACTGCTGTTTGCAGGAAGAATCAAGTCAAAGGCTCTGGGAAATCCTTAAGTTGCACTGACAACACCTGCAGCTTTTCTTTTTCAAATCACATGTAGAGGAAACGTATGCAAACGAAACGCTCATTTTCATCTGTGCTTTATGGAAATAAAATCCAGCCAAAGTGCCACAAACAGGAACATGTTACGCTCTCTGAACTACATCCGTCCCGCACGCCAAAGCTGTGAGGAAGTATTTGCCCCCCTGCTGGTTTCTTATGGTGACACAAGAAGCACCTGATGCTTCGTAGCGGCGTAGCCTCGCTACAGCAGCGTGCTACTCGGCCCCGGAGCTCTTCCCTTCTTGTCCTTGTCCATCTCACCGCTACCACGGCTCCCTTCGCTCTCCTCTCTCTCTCGCTCGTCCTCCTCGCCGCAGCGCCGCTGTGTGTGGACGGCGTCCGTGAGTTTGGGCCTGGCTGCTTTTAGCAGGTTGATTGACGCTTTCATTCCTGTTCCTACAGCATGACCGTGCTCCCGGTTTCTATTTCTTTATTTACGTGTAGTCTTTGTTTAATCCTGCGACTGACTACAAGCTGTGACATCACTTCCGCCTTCTGTGTCTCACAGTTTACTGTCATAATTCTTTCCAATATTGGATTCCAATCCAATAAAGGCCGGCCCATTAATACATTATTTTATTTGATATCATTCTGTGGCTTATTGTAATGAACACAGGGATGTTTTTGCATTGTGCCTGGTTGCTGCACGCCGTGTATTCACATGCTGGTGTTCAGGGTGGAGCGTGGTGCAGAAGCCACGCGGTGAAGCCGTGTTTTGGGGGGTTCTGGTTTCCAGCCTTTTAATGTTCCCTCAACCAACAGGAGGAAGGAGCCGCATGCTTCCCACACATTTAAAGTGGACGGGGTTCAGACACCCACCCGTCTCACTGACGGGACATCCACCCATGTGAAATAAATCATTTCCATCTGTATGGTTTGCTTCATTTTAGCCAATCCCATCATTACCATCCGCTGCAAAGCCCGCCCATCCCAACATGACAGAGTCGCAGAGAGCCGACGGAGACGGCAAATCCAAAGGTAAAGCACCACAAAGTACAGCAGGGGGCGCTTTGACGCGTGGAGGAGTGTGTTCTGTCCGCACTGTGTGTCCAGCATGCTACCTCAGCTTTCCTACCATGTGTCCTGACCCGGAGCCACTGTGTGGCTTTGATACCACGAGACGTACTCGGGTCTTTAAGGAGACTTCATTGTGCGCTTTGTGTCTCTAAGTCCTGGTCACAGCCTCATTCTGTCTGTCCTCAGCTAAAGAGTACTGCAAGGTCACATTTGCCTTTGAGGCGACAAATGAGGACGAGCTGACCATCAAGGAGGGCGACGTCATCCACATCCTGAGCAAGGTGAGTGTTCTTCCTCCCCGTCTTCAGCCCCAATCGTCTGGGATTTGAATCCACTCGCTCTAAATGGCAGCGACGTCTGCGGTTCGAGCTACAAAAGTATAAGACACGTCCCCCCGAAGCCTCAGGGACCTAACTGACGTCCTCTGATTGATGGTCTGAGAGTTCATGACGGGCTCACACTCATGGGGGGCACGGGGCCCTCTGACCGCCTTCAGACTGCAGTGGAACGCTAGCGCCACCCAGTGGAGACCGAGGAGGAATGATCATCCGTGTCTTTCTGCGCGGCTCCTCGTGTTCCTTGGATTCAGGGTTCCTGTTGTTGTTGTTGTTGTTGTTATTATGGATTTGGAAATAGGCGGCCAATGGGAGAGAAGTTACGTTTGTATTTGGGGGTGTGCGGCAGGACACTGGAGAGCCCGGCTGGTGGCGAGGGGAGATCGGGGGCCGGGACGGCGTCTTCCCAGACAACTTCGTGGTCCTGGTGTCGGAAGCTGAGAAAGAGGTGGGATCACAGAAAAACCCATTCAATGTCTACTAAGCTGCAATGGGCCTCCAGCCCAATTTAATTAGCTCAGTCTAATTCATTTTCACAATTTGACCCTTGATTTGACAAAACAATTTGTTTTAATTGAAAAATATTAATTATTTTTTCTGCAATGATTAGGTGATTTCTTTATTTCATTTTTCATTCAGCGATATTTTATTTTGATTAGCAACCACATTCTTTATTAGTGTTTTATTATGTCGTGTGAAACAGCCAGTTTGGCTTCAATGGGACACGTTGGTCTGTTTGTTATAGACTTAAGAAGCTGAACTTTCTCATCAACCTTTTACTAAATCACTTTTACCTCTGCAGTGCTCCTGCGTGCGTCATTTATTCACGGGGGTCTCGCTCCGTGTTTCCTCATGTGTGACTGCGGGGGGGTGATTACCACCGTTTGGGATATTGGTCCACTGTCGGGGCAGAATACCGAATCACGGGAGCTTGATTTTCCCTTTTTATTCCACATTCTGATTGTCTGAAATAAGAAATAAGACCTTTTCTTTTTACCTCACTGAATCAAACGAGAGCTTTTAGTGGACTTAGTGGGGGGGGGTGGATCTCCACTCTTGACGCGCAGCGTTGTCCTCCACGATGAACTTGATGTCACGGCACAGTGAAGCACAGGGCTTCTGCCGTAACGAAGCCACGTCTCTGCTGGTCTGAGCGCTTCTACGTTTCTTACTTCATGTCATTCTTGTGCTGGTGTTGCAGACGCCCCCGTCCAGAGCGTCGCTGAGGTTGCCTCCCAAGCAGGACGCCGAGGAGGTAAGCGTCCTCCCGCTCGCAGCACGTCACGGACCCCGGCTCAGACTTCATGTAATGAACCTGAAGGGAAGGGGGTCCAGGGCTTTGCCCCCCGGCTCCTGGACGAGTTAGTCACACGGGTTTTTGTTGGACTGAAGTTCTCTGTGCTTTAACCCGGAGTCCTCTGGGAGCCACACTGACAGTCGGGATCGACTACATTAGTCCGTAGTGAGTCTACTCGACTTATTCATATAAAGTAGCTTCTGCTCTTTAGCGCTTGAATGCACTCGTTGTGCATTGCAGGCATGTGACTGTGCATGTGAGCTTCAGAACTAAGCTCCCAGCCGGTTCCCCAGTGATTGTATAATAATGCGTTTCATGGACACTTTTGTTGTTGATCAGAAAGTGCAGGCGGGGAAACGGCACGAGGTCTGTTTTATGATTTGATCTGTCGTGTTACTGAACGGCTCCCCGCCTTGTTACTTTGTAACGCTGTTCATGTTTAGATGTTCTGTGCCGTCTCCTTCCATCCGGCTTTTGCTTTCTGCAGATGTGAGTCACGATGACCGATTTCTCTCTCTCTCCTTCTCCTGCCAGCAGAAGCCGAAGAAGCCGCCTCCTCCGTCGAAAAGCCCCAGTAAGTAAGCCGTCCCGCCGTCGGTGCGAGCCAGTGCCAGCAGTCAGTGTAAGCGATCAGCCTCGCGAGCAAGTTAACGTTCCGCAAGCGAGCAAATATCTCGCGCACATCAACCTGATTTGTACTCTCGAATTTTGACAGTGATTTGCTGCCATACATATCTTTCCAAAACAAATAAGATATCAACATGATTTTCATGGCTCAAATTGGCATAGACCCAATAATGATCTACAGCGAATTTCGTGACAATCGGACACAGCGTTTAGGAGAAACGAGCAAAAACCTTTTCACCAAATTCAAAATGGCGGAAAATCTAGTTTGGGGCATTTGCATACCGTGATCGACTTTTATGTAGAGGATGTCCGAGGAGACATGTAGAGGATGTCCGAGGAGATGTGTGTGCCAAATTTCAAGTCAATCGGGCATCGGGGGAGAAACTGGCCTTGTGTGGTACTTTTTAAATTTCAACAACTTTTGGAATATGATAAAGCCCCCAAAATGGCACAATTCCTTAGAGAAAATAAGAGGGAGAATAATTCCATGAAATATATATATATATATATATGAAATAGGACCCTGATGATCCCAGCGCAGAAGATACCAGTTTGACAGGTCCTAGCCTTCACAGGTCTGTGCCCTTCCACAAACACCCCGTCCCTAAACATCCCTCTACTCCCTCTACTAAATCTGAGCATGTATGACAATCACATACTAGTGTCTCTGCTAAATGGTCAAGTCGCTTCTTCGGGTTCAACAATCCATTTTTCAGGTCAAATCAAAGTAAATTGACCTCAGCACAGAATCTGATCTGCAACAACAACTGAGGGGTTTCTTCGTCTCTCGGCTACCAAATGGATACAATTCACAGAAAGGAGAAAGCATCCCATTTACTTCTAATCTAATACATGGAACCCTCCCAGAAGAGCCCTGTTCCAGAAGTCTGCAGCAGTTTCCCTCGAAGGCATTTCATCAAACAGAGAAGCAGGCTGCAGCGTAGTTTCATCCTGCAGGGCCGGCGTCAATGAGCCACTGAACAGTACAAAGATTTCCCCAACAAAGTCAAAAGACTCTTCATCTAGATTGACACATCTTATAATCGATACAATAATCAGAAAGTAGGGTGGTGTGTTGGTCAGCATGTAACGTGTAATGGAGGGTAACTGGACTAGAACGATGCGTTGTTCTTTCGCTGTCTGCAAAATGCACGCATGCATCTTTCCTGTCTGCACAGGAAGTGTCTGCAGCTGTAAACCACTGCGTCGTGTCGCAGCGCGTCTCTCGGGGACACGTGCACAGTGCATCGGCGTGCACGCGACTGTCTCTCAGCGCCTGTTAGTGAGCGCATGTGCGTCCTACAGAGACGGGTGGTTGTCTACTTGAATGTGTGTGTTTGGTCATTGTCTGCGGAGTCTCTGGTGTGGACAGACTGTGGACAGACTGTGGACAGACTGTGGACAGACTGTGGACAGACTGGACCATGTTTGCTTTTTCAGCTCTCAGGCCGGAGGTCCCCAGCGTCGACAAGAAGCCGCATCCCATCAGGCCGGAGGACAGAGGTAGGACTCGTTCACCCTCCATTCTCTCCTCAGCGTCCTTCACATTTAGCTCGCCGTCCTCCGTGTCCCCGCTGCCGACCTGACAGCAGCCATTCTGTTTCCTTATGAGTCAACTACCTGGCTTCCTTTGGGACTTCTCACCCAGGGGTCCTCATAGCAAAAGTAGTGGTTGCTCAGCAGCCCGTGACACACGGATGACATCGATGTGCTCAGCTGCGTGAGCTGCTGATGGCTCAAGTATTTTATGTAACTACCAGCTACAATGAGTAGATGACTAAACGATGATGTTGTTAACAAGCAGCTTATGGAAAAAACAATGATTATTTAGAAATGAATACAAACATCATATAAGATACTATCAGGATGTTTGAGCTAAATACGGTGAGGTTACTCTTTAGCTCTTTGTCATTCCGTCGTTCAACCTTTATTCTTCAGTGGACACGTTTTGATTCACAGCAGAGAACAAAAGCATCTCCTCCTCCGCTGAGGTTCAACCGCCAGTCCTCATTTCCTGCTTGTGAAGCTTATTACCCACAATGTCTTTGGTGTCACCTCCAGCTTCTGCTCTTACACAACGCGCCCAACATCGGTCCTTCTGTCTTTTGTCCCCTCGCATTCAACAAGTACAGCCAGGTCCCACATCCACAGGCGTGATCAAGTGATCAAATATTACATTACATGTCATTTAGCTGACGCTTTTATCCAAAGCGACGTACAATAAGTGCATTCAACCATAGGGTACAAACTCAGGAGAACAAGAAACAAAGTGCAATTTCCTCAAATAAGCCAATGTACAATTTGCTATAGATGAGTGACGTTACAAGTACAATTTAAGTGCTACAATTTGTTAGTCTTTAGTGGAGGTAGAGTCTGAAGAGGTGTGTCTTTAGTTTGCGGCGGAAGATGTGAAGGCTCTCTGCGGTCCTGATGTCTTCAGAGAGCTCGTTCCACCATTTCGGCGCAAGGACAGCGAAGAGTCGAGATCTAGTCGAGTGTTTTGCTCTCAGTGAGGAGGGACGAGTAGTTTTGCAGATGCAGAGCGGAGAGTGCGGGTTGGGATGTAGGGTTTGACCATGTCCTGGATGTAAGCTGGACCCGATCCATTCGCAGCATGGTACGTGAGCACCAATGTTTTGAACTGGATGCGGGCGGCCACCGGTAGCCAGTGAAGAGAGCGGAGGAGGGGAGGAGTGTGGGAGAACTTAGGAAGGTTAAAGACCAGTCGAGCTGCTGCATTCTGGATGAGCTGCAGAGGTGGAATGGTGGTAGCAGGGTGACCTGCCAGGAGGGAGTTGTTGTAGTCCAGGAGGGAGAAGAGCCTGAATCAGTACCTGCGCTGCCTTCTGAGTGAGAAGAGGACGTGTTCTCCTGATGTTGTAGAGCGAGTATCTACAGGATCGTAGTTGCCAAAGTTGACCGTCAGGTCCTGGGTCGGAGAGTCTTTTCCCAGAAAAGTAGTTCAGTCTTGTCGGGATTGATTTTCAGATGGTGGGCGGATCCACTGAGAGATGTCAGTCAGACAGGCAGAGATCCGAGTGAGGGAAGGAGAGAATTAGTTGGGTGTCATCGGCATAGCTGTGGTAAGAGAAGCCATGCGAGCGAATGACAGCGCCAAGAGAGTTGGTGTAAAGCAAAAACAGGTGGGGACCCAGAACGGAACCCTGAGGAACTCCAGTAGTAAGAGGACAAGGTTCCGACACAGATCCTCGCCAGGTTACCCGGTAGGTGCGACCGTCGAGGTAGGACGAGAGAAGGGAGAGAGCAGAGCCTGTGACACCAAGTTCCTGAAGGGAGGAAATAAGGATCTGGTGGTTGACCGTGTCAAATGCAGCAGAGAGGTCCAGAAGGACGAGGACAGAGGAGAGCGAGGCGGCTCTAGCAGTGTGGAGTTGCTCAGAGACAGCAAGGAGAGCAGTCTCTGTGGAACGGCCTTGAAACCTGACTGGTGGGGGTCAAGGAGGTTGTTACAGTGGAGATAAGAGGAGAGTTGATTAAAGATAGCACGTTTAAGGTTTTTGGATTAAAAGGTAAGAAGAGAGACCGGTCTGTAGTTGTTTTTCTCAGAAAGGGTTGAGGGTGGGTTTCTTCAGGAGAGGGTTGACTCTTGCCTCCTTCAGAGAATTGGGAAAACAGCCAGATAACAGAGCGTTGTTGATGACACAGGTGAGGAAAGGAAGAAGGTCAGGTGCGATAGATTGTAGAAGATGTGATGGAGTCAAGAGGGCAGGTGGTCGGACGGGCAGAGGTTACTAGGGTAAGAATTTGGTTAGGAGAGAGGGGGTGAAGGAGGAAAGTGAGGGCGAAAGAGGTGAGGTCGGTGCGACGCGAGAAGTAGGAGGTGGGTTTGAGAAGGAGGAGCGTATGTCAGCTATTTTCTCGGTGAAGTAGTTGACAAAGAAGGGTGGATGGGGGAGGAGGGGTAGGGGGTTCGAGGAGATCCAGAAGAGTTTTTTGGGGTTAGAGAATGAGGATTCGATTTTGGATTGGTAGAAAGAGCTTTGGGCAGCAGAGATAGAAGCAGAAAACGAGGAGAGGAGAGATTGAAATTCAAGCAGGTCGTCAGGTCGTTTATATTTACGGCATGATGGTTAATTGTACCGGGTTACAGCATGGTCCTCTGACGCCTAGTGAGTCGTATTCACATTCAC